ACATTAGTTCATACGTTCTCATTCTGATCTACCTTAGTGTTGCTAGTGCTGTGCTCCACTGTTCCCATTTGCATTCATATAAATTTTAACCTGAAATCTTGATATATAAAAAAGGATACAACAGAATATGTGGAAAAAAATCAACATGTTGAAACATGAGCATGAATATTTTTTAATTAACTGGTTGCAAAGTCCAAGAGTGATTCAAAAATCATGCACATGTAAATGCGTTCTGTAAATGAGTAATCATAAAACTACACAGAGTGCCACAAAATACAGTACAGTAAATAGACAGAGCATCCAGAGTGAATAATATTGTTTTTTATTTCTTTTATTTATTGCAAATAAACCTGATCCGTTTTGCTGTTTGTTACTTTAAATAGCTTTAGGAGTCAGAACTTTTCTAATATTTGCATATTAATTGGCTTTCCAGTAAATATGACACTGTTTGTACTTGTGCATCGGTGTGTGCGTTTGTGTGTATGTACACCTGCAAGTGTGTTTGAAAGGATCTTGCCAGTGACCTTGTATGTAGGCTGCTGGTGCCAAACAAGGACTATATCTATCTGATTAGTTTATCTGTGTCATGCTCTGTAAAGGGCAGGGAATAGATTGAGACAGATAAAGACAATACAAGAGACAGACAGGAAACATGCACTTGCACTTTGATGATAGATGGGAGATGATATGGGTGGCACTTTTCACAAATACGGTATAATTTGCTTTTAAAATTACCTAGTCGTTTTAAACACCGTATAGCTTTGTTGCTAGAAAAACAAAGACACACAAATCAAACTGTGTTTAGACGTGTTCCACATAATGTCTTAATATAATAATATAACATTTAGTCTAACCCTCTAATGCTGACAGTCCATATATTCTAGGTTAAGCACCTCCTTTCACTGACGATAGGCTGACATATTTGTTTTAATCAGACGGTGTTTAAAGACATCTGTAAATTTGAAAGTCCCTGGAGCTGGTGCCTGTGATTCAACAGCGGAGACTGCGGTTACTTAATGTGTGTTAATTACTTGTACTTCAACTTGCAGCTCACTTAGTTTAGCTGATGCAGGAAATCTGACATTGTGAGGCAGATTTTCCATTGACTGTCCAGCTGATTTGTACTGTATGTTCACACTGCCTGATACACATACATACATTTAAAGTAAAAATGGGGAGGAAAACAACTTAATTTAATATTAAGAGACATTTTTAGGACTTAAAAGGTGAATACTGCTACTTACTAAATATATTTTTGTGCAACGACCACTAAATGGTATAATTGATCATTGACCCAGTCGGCAAAAATCTTGCATAGCTGTAGTAGTTTCTTGTTGTCTCTTTCTTCTCATGTACAGTACTATAAATATTCCTCTAATCAATATTTCATGCCATTTATTAAGTAGCCTCCACACATCAGTTCATATATTCTTATTTTCATTTATTATTTAATTTAATGTAATAATTAAAGACTATTAAAAGATTAAAGCATGGCTTTAAACATGAATAAATATCTAATCTGATATAATAATACATGAAAATGTTTATATATTAAAAAAAAAAATTCATGTAGTTTTATTATATAATATTTTCATTTTTAAGACCCAGAAATGCTAGTTTTTAATATAAACATGTTTTCAAGGAACTCATGATCTGATTTAATCTGATTAAAAAGTTCAGCGAAAAATGTCTGAATCATTTATTTTTTCTTATTTCTCTGTTCTTATGAAATCTTTGTGTGTTGAATTATAAATAGGAGAAAAGCCACAATGTTTTTTTAGAATATGAAACTAGACTCCAACAGACTCACTTAGCACACTTAAGAGTCATACCGAAATCTTTTTTCTGTCACTTCAGTGAATCTGCATCTACAAAAACTTTCATTACTTTTAAAAGAAACAGAGCGATTGTATTTCAGAGACAACCCCTTAAATATTCGCAGAGAGAAACATTCCCACATTTATTGTTATCCTCAGGAAACAGTCTGAAGTCGCGGATCCACCCTGACTCACTTTTGCTGGGTTTACAGGGGGTCTTTGAAGCACACCACCTGTTAGAAACAGTGCCATTCTTTCCTCTTCTTCACCGTGTTATGTAAGCCCTTACAGATGCAACCCTGGAAATAAAGGGGCTTTTCTCTCTGTGCTTTATCCACTTGTTCTATTTTGATGGTCCGTCTGCCTTAAACTCCCAATGTATCTTCCCTTTTCTAAAAGTAGCATGTCAGGCACTCAAATTTTCCCTAGCACACTTAGAAAGGTTTAAATTGTGTGTCATAAAAAGCTCTTTGCTATTTTTTGCAATGACAAGAGATGGCCTGATGGTCTATTACCTCTTGAAAGTGAAAGTAACCATTGCTTAGTTTGCACCAGCTTCATTTTTGGTCTTGCTGTTCTGTGCTGTGCCGGTTTTAATGAGAAACACAATGAAAGGTTGTTATCCAGAATGAACACTTGCACCTTTGAGATTTTCTCAGTTTCTTTAGCCATAGTGTAGAGCTCCTCGCCTGAACAGGAAGCCAGACAAACCGTTCATCTCTTTTAACTGTATATAATTTCCTGTGTTCGCATGTGTGTCTTCTATCAGCACTGATGTGTCTGCATCCAGTATTTGTGAAAAGTGTAACACTAAATATACAGGGTGTTGACTGCCAAAACTGTTGGAACATACTGTGATAGGCCTGAATACAAATCATGTAATTTCCTTTTTGAAGCGTAAGTGTTACAATATAGCGAGGTGCAGATATGAGGGTGGGAGGATGGAAATCCCAGCTGAGATTTCCCAAACACAAGATATATGACATGAACGACAGACAGTTTCATATGCCGCCAATGTGTGTTTTTGGGTAAGTGAGGTGACCGGAAGAGTTTTTGCTTTTTGAAGAAAAACACCACTATCTTCTTCCAAACCTGTATGATTTTCTTTTCTTGTAAAGCACAAAAAGAAATGTTAAACGGGATGTTTATGGTGCTCTTCTGCATACAATAAAACTGAATGTGGGCTGTAAATCAACAACCAAAAAGAAAAAGAAAAAACAAGAAAACACCATTAAAATAGTCCACGTGGCTTAAAATCTATTGTGTAATTTCAGAAGACTTGTAAAGTAGTGTATTAGTCATATAAACTACTTTTATAGCACTTTTGTGGTACTTTTTGTCATTTTTGGAGCTTGAAAGCCCCAGGTCACCATTAGATTTCATTGCAAAAGAACAGTGTGAACATTGTGAAAAATTTAGATGACGATCCAATATTTAGATTTACAATTAGTTTTCTTGTTTAGACATATTTGGAGAGATTTAGCATTACATCACTTGCCCAACAATGGATCCTCTGCAGTGAATGGGTGCCGTCAGGATGAGAGTCCAAACAGCTGATAAAACATCACAATAATCCACAAGTAATCCACAGTCCATCAATTTATGTTTTGTGTTTGTAATAAACAAATCCATCATTAAGGCATTTTAACTTTAAACCATTGCTTCTGGACTTTATGAGTTGTGTGGATTACTTGTGGATTATTGTGATGTTTTTATCAGCTGTTTGGACTCTCATTCTGACGGCACCCATTCACTGTAGAGGAATTAGCGGAGAGCAAGTGATGTAATGCAACATTTTTTCCAATTTATTTCTGATTTCTTTTAAACTTCTGCTTTTGTGTTCCACTGAAGAAAGAAAATCTTAAAGGTTCAACCATTAAAACATATTGATTACATAATTTAGTGCCTTTTTAAATGTGTTTTTCTTGTGGGAAATGCACAGAAAGTCCTTAAAGTGAAAGTTTTCAGGTTCAAAACTGACTCATTTGTTCCCAAAAGGCCATACTGACTGGTTCCCCAACAATGCAGATTAATTATAATAAGTTATTTCCCCTTAACGTGCCAGGCTGGTTGCGTATAAGGTCAAATGTGTTGCATCAGATCTCTTTGAAAGACTGAATCTAGAAAGATAAGATGAGCATCTTTCTCTTTCTTTCTTTCTGTCTTTCAGCAAAATGGTCAGAGTAGCGTGCAGAGATTGACGGGTCCATGCTTGACTCAGTCTGTGCTCTGTATTCATAATGTAATTCAGTTGCCGTGCACACAGCAGAGTTCAGCTAAGCCGGTGTGATTGCAATTGATTTCTGAACACATCTTCCCCAGGCGCTATGAGTTCGAATGCACAAATTACCCATGTGCTCATCGTAGATATGGAAATATGAATACAGCTGAAAATGATGCATTCTAAAAAGGCACAGATTATGTTTTAGTGTTAATTGGTGATTTTTGACTGTGCTATAATTGTGCATATAATTGTTTGACCAGGTTTGTGTCTGTTTGCATTTAAATGCACACCTGTGCATGACCTGATCGGGAAGTCTGGCGTTGATGTGTTGAATTTAATGCTATGAAGAGTTGCTCATTAGCGTGAACACTCTTGGTGATAACAGAGTATACATGATAAATTTCATTCTTTTTCCGTGTCAGAGGCTGAGAAAGAAATATTAATGCACACTGACCTCTGCTGGTACTAATGTTGAGGTGCTGGTTTTTCAAAACTAAAGATGATGAGTTTAAATCTTTCATCATTAACATTTACAAACAAATTTCATTTATAATACTTGATGGGTATTTTATAATGAAAATAAATAGGCCTATTCATATTTAAATGCATATCAATGACCGTGTTACTGAAGTATCACATTTTATGTTCTGTTATATATAGAGAACATTAATTTTCACATGGTTTAATTCTGATTGATAATGTTGAAATTTGGTGGTCAGATAATTTTGTATAAAGACCACTAAACTGCATAATTGATTATTGACCCAGTCGGTGAATATCTTGCATATCTGTGGTAGTTTCATGTTGTCTCTTTCATCTCATGTAATATATTTTCCGCTCTAATCAATATTTCATGGCCATTTATTTAGCATGTAGCAGTGTAGTTAACAATACTAACTGTCTGATTATATACAATCCCTTACTTAACAAATAATCATGGTTTTTCTTATCTTTTTCTCTAAGGTTATGGACACACTGTCCAAACTCTCTCATACACACATTGCACAGCAGACTGGAATAAGGTATTTGAAAAAGAAGAAATTAATAATTATAAGTATTTTAAGAGTGCAGCGGATTATATCTCTCTCTCTGCCTCTCTCTCTGCCTCTCTCTCTTTCTATTCTAGGCCGTTTCCCACAGAAGAGAGTGTTGAGGATGAAGACATTTATAACCATCTAGAGGATCTGATAGAGTGAGTAATTTTTCTGCTTACAGTGTTTCTCTTCCTCCTGATATTTTAACCTTTAGCTCACTGCAATCTCTCTGTTAGATATAGGAGCCTCAGGCTGGAGCACAGTGGAGTGCTTAGGTTGATGTTAACATGATGAGTCATGAGATAATGTGTGCCACACACATACTGTCCTACTTATAGATGCACTCACTTACATATGTGTTAAAAATACTTCTTTGTTAACCCATGAACAAATGTTTTTGTTTTATTATATATTGTATCTATACATGTCAGAAAGTGACACTCTTAAGTTGAATTAAACCCTGTCATAAAATTTGTATAAAAATATATTCAAATGTATTAATTTACGCTGCCATTCAAAAGTTCGGGGTCAGTAAGATTAATTAATAATTTATCAATTATTTAATGATTTAAGATGAATAATTTATCAACAAGCACATGTTAAAGTTACCAAAAGTGACACAAAATGCTTTTACACTGGTACAAAAAAAAAATCTATTTCAAATAAATGATGTTATATGAAACATTCTGCTCATAAACAAAACCTGAAAAAACTGTATCATGGTTTTCAAAATTGACAATGATGAGAAATTATCACCAGATCAGCATATTAAAATGATTTCTGAAGGAACATGTGACACTGAAGACTGGAGAAATTATGAACAATCAGCTGTGCAATCACAGGAATACATTCTATTTAAATAGAAAACAGTTATTTAAAATGTTACAATAGTGCTGTTTTACTGTATTTTGCTCAAATAAATGCAGCCTTGGTGAGTCTTCTTTCAAAAACATTGCAAATAGCAACGCTAAATGTTTAAGCAGCAGTGTATTAAATTGTATTAATTTATAGTGAGATGGTGCATTAAAATTGATTAACACTTTACAAAACAGTGTTAATATGATAGAATGTTTACAATGTTGTACAAAATACTTAAAAATCACCTCATAAAACTTGAAAAAGCAACTGTTTCATATAATACCGTATATATACAGACACACCAAGGGTTATTGCAGCTGTACAGCTGTTAACAGCCTCAGATGCAAACTGTCAGATTTTGCCTTTGGCCTGTGTCCTCTCGTTTCCACTGCTGCCACGTACGTATAGGGCCTCCTATTCCAGCAGACAGGCAACAACAAACACAGTCATAGGATTACAGGACCATAAAGAGCCCTGCGGTGCCACTTGATCTGCTATTTTGTCACGCCACAGTCCAGAAGTGTTATACTTTCTTGATCTCTCGATTATGAGCGCACTATATTTCAAGCCACATAAGCCACTCCTACAGTGGATCAGCAGTCAGTGGATGAATGTCAGTATATGTGGAGAAACTGTAGCTGAATCACACTGTCATATGAGATCACAGATGCCACACCACCAATATTTTCTATTATTTATATTTCATTTTATTTTTAGTTAACAATCTATATCTAGTCAACGATAACTACACTGCTTCAGAGCAATAAAAGTGATTCTGTTAAGTAACAGGCTGTTGAGTAGGCCAACAAGTAGCATCAGCATAAATGTCTGTTCTCCTCATATGACAAGCAAAATATTGATGCTGCTGTCACTATGTTTTGGCTCGACCGCATCACATCTGTTTCTTAGCCACACATAAACAAGGCCCTCTAGCAGAGGGTTGTTTCCCACATGTGATGGTTTGTTCATATGAAATGTGCTTGTTGAGTGCTTTTCCCTGGAGGGGGATGTGCCTGTACAATTTGATCCCTGTCAGAGAGAGACTTTTCCTTGAAGGCGTTTCGTAATAGATTCGAACTACAGATATGGTTAGGAAACAAAATCAACACAGTTTGTCTCTCTGTCGTTCTCTTTTACACCCATCTGGAGAACATATCTGAGTGATTTTAAGGCCTGACTCAGCTATAATGTCTCTTGGCTCTTGCTTGTGCTGTAGCTGAAAACCATGTGTTTAATTTAGAAGAGGGAAACATTATCGTTTTAAAACCCCTCATGAGCAATTTTCTAGAAGAGGCCTTTTTTCTCCAGTATATTGGATATGCTGAAGCATTTGAACATATCTCGCTGTCCTCCTAGGGGTTTTTCTGTTCCAACGTCCAACGTATTTCTCTCTGCTTACTGTAGTCAGATAGTAGTTTTATATACTAAACTAAAACCTTTGGAGAAGCTCTAAATGTTGTTGGTCTGTGTGTCTCAGTGAGAATGGTGTTGAGGATGAGGAAGATCTCTACGACTGTGTGTATGATGATGATGAGGGAGGAGAGGTGTATGAAGATCTGATGAAGGTTGAGCTGGTACAACCACAGGTGAGTTCACTGAAATGCTTTATACAGTATATAAACACGCTTTGGGTTGCATGTCATAAAATGCTCTCTGTTTCTCTCTCTTGCTGCTGTAATTACAGAAACAGGCCGAGACGGACATCAGAAGCTGTTGTCTGATGGAAATCAAACAGACTGAGGAGAAATACACAGAGACGCTGGACTCCATAGAGAAAGTGAGGCCTCTTTAGAACTGCACAGTCAGACCTGCTGTAATATTATAGCTTTAATGCAGTGTATGAGATCTGCCAAGTGTATGATAGATGTAATGTGACACATCATTTGTATAAAAACCATAGTAACCACAGCTCAAATCATGGATGAATCTTTTTACCATGTTTAGATTTAACTTACTGTGCAATATTTTACCATGATACCCATGGTTGCTGGCAAAATACCATGGAAATACCATAGAATACCAATTATTGTTACAGTTGCTTTCTAGTAACTTGCTATAAGCCACCATTATGATCACATTAAAGAAATAAAAAAGATAAAATGACAAATATTCTGAAAACAATGTATGGTTTTGAAAATGCTTAAAACCCGCCTAAACACATTTAGAAACTATAACTGTCAATAAAAATATTGTTTTTAATATTCATATTATTATTGATGTATATTTTAAATCTTAGTATGACTATACAACATTTCTATTATAGTTACTACAATAAAACCATGGTCAATTTCCACAGTGGATCAAAAAAAATCATTTTGTAATATAGCTTTATTGCTGCTGTTATTTATATATTTACTTATTTACTTATTATTATTATTATTATAGTTATAATAATAATAATTATGATTAGTGGTAGTAGTACTATTTATGTATTAATAATAATAATAATAATAATACAATTATTTGTTTAATTTTTAATATTAGTATGAATATACAACATGTTAATTGTAGTAACTATAAAAAACCATGGTCAATTTACACAGTGGATAATAGTAATATTCCTTATTAAATGTTCATCATTTTCATCATTAAAATGCATTCATTTATCTGAAATCTTAGTATGAATATACAACATATTATTATAGTTACTATGATAAAAACAAGGTACATTTCCACAAAGATTGATTATATTATAATATAACTTTATTGTGTGCATTAGCTTATCCATAGCAACTTCTTAATTAGTATTTTTTTATCCATCATCCACAGTTCTTTATGAAGCCTCTGGGACAGTCACTGTCCAGTGTGGAGATTGAAAAGGTGTTCATCAATATACCAGTGAGTCACAAACTGCCTCTAACGGAGGACACATTTTAGCATGAATCACTGTGTCATTGTTCTTATCGCCTAATATTTTGATGTTCTGTATTGTACCAGGACCTTGTGAAGCTGCACACGAGTCTTCTGAGAGAGGTTCAGGATTCAGTGCTCATGCATAACGCCAATAACCTGTTTCAGATCTTTATAAAATACAAAGAAAGGTGATTGATTTATCCCTTCAGCGATTAAAAGAATGAAACCCTCCTTCCCCTTCTCACATGTGTCTGTTTTCCTGTCTGATAGATTAGTCCTGTATGGGAAATACTGCAGTCAAGTAGAATCAGCCATTGCGTGTTTGGATGACATCTGTAAGAACAGAGAGGACGTCAGGCAGATGTTAGAGGTAAGACATTGTCAGACTATATTCATAAAACATCTCTCGGGTCATAAGTGGCATTTTCCATGAATACTGGACACTTTTTTTAGCATCAAAGGCACACATATTTCTTGTGAGCACTTGGAAATGTTAAGAAGAACTATTATCTAACATACAATTAACTATCTAATATTTTAATAAAAAGTGTCATTTAAATAATACAGCCTATTTAATTGGTATTCAGTTAATTGTAGGTTTGGATGCACTCTGCATTTTTGTTTTACATGATTTTGTCTCCCCTCATTATAAAAAATAATGTAACATTTCTAAAGTACATGACACTGAGGAAGTGACATTATTTTGACCCTTTGTACAGCATAACATGAATTTGTTATGAAATTATTTATGAAAGTAGGTCTTACGTTTCACTACCAAAACTGAAGTGAAACTATTTATTTGCTGTTAGACAATGCCACCTGGTGGTTGAGAACGGTGCAAAATATTTATGAACAGTATATTTCAAAGTTTTGCTCATTTATTTACAGAACAGTCATGTCACAGTCACATGTGTGTTTTTTTTGTTTGTTATTAATTTCAGTTATGTTCCAAACGAGCCAATAACGGGAAGTTTACTCTGAGAGATCTTCTGGTGGTTCCGATGCAGAGAGTCCTGAAGTATCATCTACTTCTACAGGTCTGAATTTATTTAGCTGTATTCCTGCTCATTAAAGCAGTGTTGTTTTAGAATTAGAGATACTATATAAATATTATATATTAATTTTAATTTATTATTAGTATAATTTTAAGTATATATTTTTTTCTGTTTTCATTTTTAATTTAAAGTTTTAAAGTTTTAGTACAATTTTTATTTGATTGTGGTTTTGTCTTTGTCAATTAGGTTTTTTTTATTTAAAAAAAAAATGTTTTGGTTTGTTTTCTATGTATTATTTTAGTTAACATCTATTTTATTTTATTTTTATTTAGATTTAGTTAACTAAATCTATCATATATATAATAATATGCACTGATTAATGTGCCCTGATGGACTGTAAAAAAAAGAGTGTCAGTTCTTCTTTCATATCGTCTTTAAATGACTGCTTTACTGCTAATGTCCACTAGGGGCAGTGTAGTCCATGTTTTACTCTTTCACTTAGAAGCAGCATAATGCTTGTTTGAAATCCACCAGTAGGTGGCAGTGTAATAAATCCCAGATTCCTCCGGTAGGGGCAGTATAATCCACATAATGAGCAAGCAGCATGCTTTATCCAGTCATGTATGTTTGGTCTGGCCCTTTTCCACAAACATCTCACACAGACAGGCATGAATATTTCATAGTGTGTCTCTGTCCATCACACGTTAGGTCTACTGCATGACCCAGCTATGAGGGGATTTAGAAATAAATGTGAACGAAGGCGAGAGAGAAATAGAAAAGCATAGAGAAGGAGATGTGCATAGCGTGTGTGAACCGAAGACACCGCGATCCTCCTGCTGTTGCAGGAACCTTTCGACTCTCAGCGGACAGAACAGCGAAAGTGTTTTCTGTGTGTGTGTGTGTGTGTGTGTGTGTGTGTACTTAGCATGCCTGCAAGGCTGTCCACAGCTCAGTTCACCTCCCTGCCCATCTGGCCAGCTGTGGGTTTAGGGAATGTGTGTGTGTGTGTGTGTGTGTGTGTGTGAGGCGGGCGCTGCAGATAGAGCGTCTGTCTGTCTGCTGCCCCTCTGGAGAGCAGGCTAGCGTGTGACAGACTGTCTTTCTCTGCTCTTTGCTCTGCTGGAGGAAGCCTTGGTCATTGAGAGAAAGAGCAAGCCAGCTTTACATAATGAGTTATAATCAAAATTAATAAATAATCTAATATAAGGGATTCTAATATTTGTATATTTAAATAAAAAAATAAATTAAATAATTGTAAATCTTATCTAGTCTTAAATTTATTCGTTCATTCATTCATTCATTCATTTATTTATGAAACTATTAAGCAGCATAACTGTTTGCAACATTGATAATAATAAGACATGTTTCCTGCGCACCAAATCAGCCTATTAGAATGATTTCTGATGGATTTAGTGTTACTTTAGTATTATTTATGTTATAGTTTTTTATGTATTTTAAAATAGCTTTTAATAATTATTATTTTTTGCTATTTTCTTTTTTCATTTTCATTTCAGTAATTTTGTTATGTGCTTTTGCAATTTTATTCGTTTTTGTTTTTCAAACATACTATTTATAGGTTGAATTTATTTTTATTTCAGTTTTAGTTTTTTAGGAATTTTAGTGCCTCAACTTAACCTTATTTTAGTCATCAAGTTTTGAATATTTATATTCAATTTAATTTTAGTTAAATTTTCAACAACAGTCTTTTTAATAGTATAAGTTTTAATTATAGGTTACAATAATAACCATGTATCATGTGACACTGAAGAGTGGAGTAATGGCTGCAGCTTTGTCATCACATATTAAACAGTTATTTTAAATTGTAATGATATATTCACAATATTACTGTTTTAGCTGTATTTTTGATCAAATAAATGCCTTGGTGAGCATAAGACTTTTTAAAAAACCATGGAAACATTTTTACCGACTTTTGAATGATAGTGTACAGTAGAGCCCGACCGATATATCGTTTTGCCGATATTATCGGCCGATATGAGCCTGTTGCCGATATATCGGTATCGGCGAATATGCCGCCGATATGAAATTTTTTTTACAGAACATATAACGCAGATAAACTGCTTGAAATGGTGTAATTACTTAGTTTGTCCATTTGCTCCATTGTTTGCTACTGGCGACCTGGATGAAACGCTTTAAGCTTAAGTCTATGGAAAACCATTGAAACTTTGAACGGCCATATCTCCGTAACGGCGCGGCAAATCTGCACCAAATTCGGGGGATCCCTTCAGCTCGAGGAATCCTCTCGAACATGAATCGAGTGTACGTCTAGAGGCCCACTTTCGAATGAGACCACCCCTGCGTCGATAGCACCCGGGGATCGGGAGCTACGGGTGATTAAATTTGCGGACCGGCGCCGACCAATCAAGTGATCCCGGGGAGATACCGACGCGTGGAGGGTGGCGTTCGAGAGGGCTCCTCGAGCTGAAGTTTCAAGGAAACGTACACGTTACATTCAAAGGGCATTAAAGTGCACGAGACGTGAATTTATATTGTATTTGTTTACAGAGGTATATTATGTCACACTTCACACTTCACACTGGAATCATGGCGGAATTTCATGTGAAGTCCACTTTGCAGGGCACTTATGGTTGAATAAGACAACGCTTGAATGCTCCTGCCTGAACAAGTCCTTACTGAAGTGAAAGTGTTGACTGGTGTCACTATTTCGCGAACGTGCCGGCGGATCTCCACCAAATTCGGGGGATCCCTTCAGCTCGAGGAGCCCTCTCGAACGCCACCCTCCACGCGTCGGTCTCTCCCCGGGATCACTTGATTGGTCGGCGCCGGTCCGCGGATTTAATCACCCGTAACTCCCGATCCCCGGGGGCTATCGACGTGTGTGTGAAGACAGTAGTGCAAATCCGTGAATGAATGTTTCGAAGTGAAATAAACTTATAACAGAATAAAGTTGAATGGAATTGAATTGAATTAAAGTTGAATAAACTTCAACTTTACTGTTACGTGCACTGATGTCAGACTCATTTTGGATAATTAAGTTTATTGTTAAATTGTTAAATGCCCTGCCTCCATTACTTATCTCTGTCACGTCATTATAAGTGTTTGATCACCACATTTGAGTGATCATTGCAAAAAATGTGTTTATGTATATATATTCTGTTTATGTATATACTGTATTCTATATATAGTACCAGTCAAATGTGTGGACACATGAATGGGAAAGTGTCCAAACTTTTGACTGGTACTGTACTATAATATACACAAAGAATATCGGCCGATATATCGATATCAAATTTTGAGCAGAATTTGAACAATTGGGTAGTTATTAGACATTAAAAGGTACAAAGTGGACCAGACATTGCAATACTGTGATGCAGGCCTGTGAAATCACATTCGAACAATATTCTTCTGGAATTCTGCAAACGTTTAGATAAGAGATTGGCTGCATTTTATTTCTGCGATAATCTGTTGTGTTCGTATCATACTTCCTTTCTCTCTCTCTCTCTCTCTCGCTGTGTGAGGGCATAAGGAAGTGAGAATGAAAAATAAGGTGATGTCCGTCTTTCTGCTGATAATAATGCGCAGGTTCAGCTTGACTGACGCAGGGGATTTGGCTTGTGCTGGATGGCAATATATCTCTTAGGCCAAAAGGAAGCCATTTATCAGACCTGAGTAAAGGACATTCATAGCACCCTCCCTTATCCTACAGACTGGCCCAGATGTCTTGTTTACTTCATCCCGGAGCAGGAAGGCAATTTCAACCCCACAAAAACCTTTTGCTTCTCATTTCAATTCTTGAACCTGCGATGCAGGTTGGGATATTATTTCAGCTTGGGTGTGTGTGTGTGTGGCCAAAAGAGATAGTAAGATAGAAAGACATGCCATGCTGTGTATGTTTGTATTAGCATTGTATTGTAATGCTTGCCACATAATAACCTTGTTTATTTGATTATTTTTGGCTTACTATTTTAATAGTATAAGAGCCACCTCCTGTTTTTCGGAGCAGGGCTTGATGAATACAACATGTGAAATCAAATAAAACTCTCTCAGTGAAACCTATGATGTAAAACAATCAACACTTTATTAATGCACCATCCTGCTCAGCTAATATTAAATACTGGAAATCCCATAAAAAACATGTCCTCCTATGTTCAATTCCTTAATTAGTACATTTATTAATTTATTTTACTTCATTATATTTTTCTGTCAACTGAAATTGCCACTTTTAATTTATAATAGGTGTGTTTCAGAGGGATAATTTATGTGATAGGTTTATATACTGCTCATGTAGTAAATATGTAAGTGGATAAAAAAAAATGTCAGGGCAATTAATTTTTCTTTTCTAATCAAATGAAAACAAATTCAAAAAAAATGTTTAATTGAAAAAAAATTATTAATAGAATTGAATAATAAAATAATGAATAATAATTTTTTTAAGTCCCATTCTGTGTCACTGAATTAGGAAAAGTCAAATTATGACTCTAATATAACAATTAATTGTGTTAACTTTATTTAAAACACTAGCGCATGATGTTACATTTCAGATGACTACTATCTAAATGTTCTCTCTATACTGTTGGTAAACAATCTGCACGGTGATGAGTAGGAGTTATGAGAGCGTGCGAGAGTGACAGATGTCCTCCGGCACGGCTTTGCTCCTGTACATCTGACTGTCTGCTGTGTTCATCATCATCTGGTGATAATAAGACACTGAGACATGGCCCGTAAAAACTCATATCCCGCTTTCTTCCTGACAGGAACTGGTGAAACACACCCATGATGCCACAGACAAGAGTAATTTACGGCAAGCGCTGGATGCCATGAAGGTGAGTTGAGCATTTGAACATCCTTTTCATAAGCTGTCTGTTGCAGGGACTCCTGGGTAGTGGTCCACTGAGAAGTCTTATATTATTTAAAAATAATGTAAAAATTAAATATATATATA